AATTTTTAAAATTATAATTTTTTCAAATTTTTTAAATACTGATTTGATAATTTTAGAATAGTTTATTAATTTTTTTATATTTTTAATATTTTTTATTATTTATAAAATTACTCTTCATTTTATTGTATATATATATATATATATATATATATATTTAATTATATTTTTTTATATAAATATATATTTATCTATTTAATTAAATTTATATACTTATATTTTTAATTATATATATGTATATAATATATTTAATTATATATAAATATATATAATATTTTAATTATAAATATACATGTATGAAATATTTTAATTATATATGTATACAATATATTTAATTATATATATTTTTTATATATATGTATATATTTAATATTATTTTTTTTTAATCTTTTTTATTTTTATTTATTAGTACATACAATTAAACAGAAATAAAATAGACAATTTGCTCAAACATACAATCATATCATACTGTCAATGTAAACAAAAACAGTTGTTGCTATCAGACATTAATAAATCATCATCCAAATATACTTAAATTTGAATATTAATAAACATTGCATGTACCATATCATACTCAATATTAATGAATCATCATGCAAATCATCCAATCAAACTCTAGTCGTTGGAGGGCGACTTGAGAAATCAAATGTCTCTTTTTACATTTTTTACCTTCTATTGTCACCTGCTCCCATCTCTTTCTACTTCTCTCTTTATCACTCTAATCACCAGTTTCTCTGTCTCTCTTATCTCATCTCTCTTATTTGCCTATTTTCTCTTTGTTCTATTGCAACTTCCTCAGGACGCTTTGTCCCAAGAAAGCTTCTTTCAGCTTTCTTTTTACTCGAGCTATGTTGTACTAGGCTGGGAATGTCTTTTTTTTTTCTCTCGATCAAATTTCATTTGGATCATGAATTTGTTTTGGAACTAAATTTTGGGTTGGTTATAATAATGAATCAAAATAATCATAAAAAATTTATTTTAATTACTTATTTAGTTTAAACAAAACTAAGTTAATATTCTATCACTACTAGAGTTATATGTGAACAACAATAATCAATGTTTGTTTGGGTTTCTTCTTTAACTTCATTCCCCAAATTTGTGTGAAGTTCTCAAAGACCATTATTTTTAAACTTAATTTTAAATACAAGGTTTGTACAAACAACCTAATAAAGCCTAAAATAGGGAATTAGTATATTGATTTCAATTTATATACTTTTATGCTTTTAATAAAGGATTATTTGTCAAATATGCAATAAAGTCTCCAATTTACATAAATCTAACCCTAGCATACTTTTGTGATTTATATAAACATAGACAAAAATTGGGGTAAACTACAAAAAAAAAAAATTGTATTACATAAAAGTGTTCAAAATTTTTCATTTACTAATTTTTTTCAAAGTTTCTCTTGTACTTTAAAAAAAGGGACAAAATTCTCCCTTTCAGTTAAAAATTAATTATGTTATTTAAGTCTACTAATATAACACATGGTGTGTCAAGTTACTTGTACAATTATTTTAAATATGTTAACATAGATGCTATGTTAGCAATGTGTTACCACACATGTAAGCATATTTTTTAACCCCCTTACCTGAACCAAGTATCCCTTCTTCACCATAGTTATCTTTTTCATTGATTCTCCTCACATTTGTGCTCTAAAATCAAAAATGATCTCTAAACTTTTATAACACAAGCTTCTATGAATCACACACTCACTTTTTTCATATTCACACTCACTTTTTTCATGCAAGCTTTTTTTTTTTTACCAATGTATCTTCCCTTAACAATGCAAGCTTTTGTTTTTTTACAAATCATTATTCACAAATGCAAAGGTTATTGTCTGTCTCAAAATCAACAAGAATTGACATCCAACAACCTACACTTTTTGAAGTTTGGTTAGTTTTTGACCCTATTTACACATTTATGCTAATTCTGAAATTACTAAAAAAAAGTTATTGTTTTATACGAACTATGGTTCCCTTTGCAATTCATCTTGACAAAGACAAATTATATTTTAATTTTTATAAATTTTAGTAAAAATAATATTGTAAAATGACAAAAATGTAGGCACTATGTTCCTTTTTGCTTACAGTATTAACGCTCCCATTTGATAGAAATTATGTATATGACTTTCATCCCTCTTTTGTCTAAAAATAGTAAATAAGAGGTTATTAAGAATCTTGTCAAACAAAATTTAATCAATATCATGAACAAAAAACTATATAAACAAATTGTACTAGATGGAATAGTACACACACACACTCACCTACTTAAAACTTTTTACTTTTCTTTTGGTACTCATGCTTCTAGAAATCCAAAACCCCCTATTCTTGCAAGGAAATTTTATAAATAATCGATCTTTCTTCATCAAGAAATGATCATTGTGTTCGTGCTTTATTATTTTAGTGCAAATAAAATAATTAAATTAGGTTACCAAGATCATAAGAGAATGACCCATGCAACATCAGATAATTTTATCTATAAAACCCATTTCAAGATAAAATAAGGAGTACCCATTCATCTTTTATGTAGGTCAACAATTTATAATTACTAAGTGTTGATATGATGAAATGGATTATTGAATCTAATTTGGAAAAGTTTAAACTTGCTTGATATCATTTCTTGAATACATGTATTCGATAAAATGCTTAAGGAAATTTCTATCTGACTCAACACTATTTGACCAATGTGAATTCCTATTTTGACAGGCTTATTATTTATTTGATTGAAATAGATGACACACGTGTCGTTAATCTTGTATTCCTTCATATATAGATAATATATACTCTCATAGATTTGAGAGCGTATTTAATGGACTTTTTACTTCAATGATATCAATTTGGTTTTTGAAACTAAAATTTTAGATGGTAAAAAGTTAAAGAAATTCAAGAAACCTAAAAAAAATGATATTTCTTCATGACTATTTTAATTTTTCTTACATGTTTCTAAAATTTATTGTTAGACAAATTATCAAATTATTCTGAACGTTTAGCACTTGCTACAAAGTGATCCTTAATGTTTTTTTTTCATAATAATTTAGTCACTAACATTTTTTATTCATTTTAAACGCCTAATTTCTTTTCATTTCCTAATGAAAAAGCTAAAATTATTATGTTATATTTGAATATTTTAAAAAAATAACTTTAAAAATGACTTTAGCTGCTTAATTAAATTAATAAATGAATAATAATATAAAATATATTTAATGTTATTATTAATTTACTAATCATTAAATGAATTAATTAGTTAAAATTATTTTTTTGAGTTTTTTTTTTAAATATTCAAATATGATCAAATCATTTTTACTTTTTTTATTAAAAAATGAATGAAGTTGGGGGCTTGAAACAAAAAAAAAAGAATAACAAAGACCAAACTATAACAAAAAAAATTATTAAAAACTATGTTGTAACAAGTGTAATACATAGGGGATTAATTGGTAACTTATTTTTTCTTGTTTTAAAATTGTGGAGTTTTTCAGCTATACATCAAAACTTCATAACACCTTTCTTGTTTTAAAATTGTGAAACTTTTCGACAGCATAGTTGTGACAACTTTATTTATGTATCAAAACTTCATAACCCCTTGATTTCATTCTTGTTCGTGTTTAAGTTTTAATGGCAAACTTTTTACTCTAATTTTACTACTTTTACTTATCGATGTTGCTGTCTTTTCTTATAGTTTGTGTTTACTTCTTTTTAGTATTTCTAGTTGATGTCTTGCCTTATAATTCTTGATTTATTTTGGGTGAGCATAAGGTAAGTTGTAGTTTAATATTAGTAATTCATCTTATGGTGTTTAAAAGCTTAATGTACAAATTAAAGACTGATTATGAGAAATTTGATTGAATGAATATA